GCTTAAAAATAAGGGAGAGAGAGTTTAACACAGATTTTTGCTGTTTTGTTGGTGGCGTGCTGTAGAGAGATTCCTGATTCAGCAACAGCAGCAGAGAAAAAAAGCTGCGTCATTTTAAAGCGCGGCTTCCTGGTGCTGTACTGCCAGCGTGAACTCTGGCTTTAAAGCATTTCAAGGCTTTTATGGGACTGGATGTTTGTGTTCCCACTTGGGATCGGAGGAGAGTGCTCTGAGACCTGCCGATGGCTCAGCGTTCCCTGCCTACACCTGGGCAGATGGCGGAATCAGGCTTAGGCAGGCGGAAGAGCATGGCGGATTCCTGCTGCCATACAGAGACGCGTTTTCAGACTGCGCAGTGCTCTGCGTGTCAGATTTGGCTGTAACTTGGATAAAAAGAGTTTCTGTGCTGCACACTCAGTCTCAAAATTAAATTGCTGATTGCGGCTCCAATGTAAACTGCTGTTTGCCTGTAACTGTGCTCAGCTCAAAAGCACCAAATGACTCTGAGGCAGGAGCGGCTGCTCCTTGCTGAACTGTGCTGATCTCAGGCAGGAACTACCGTAATTACCTTAAAACCGTGCAGTTAAGGTTTAGACTGGGCAGGACACAGGCAGTACCGTATTACCTATACATGGTGCAACTTAAGTTTTTAAGAAATGCTTAACATTTTAAGAAATGCTCCTGGATAATAAAAAAAAAATTACAGATTCACAGTAAAACAGATTCAGACACCGTTGGATGAATGTACGTAGGCTTGGGGAAAAAAAGAGAATATAAAGAATAAAGTTAATGTCTTAAAAAGAAAAAGGGTAAAGTCTTTAAAGAGACAGAGTACAGAAGTACAGATAGTTATAGATTAAGAGAAATAAAGAAAAATAAGCCACGTAAAAATGAAAAATTCACAGAGAGTCTGGATTATGTACATTGTGTTTTCTTTAAAATTTTTGACTGTGAAGGAGCTAAGTACAAAGAGACATTTTATTATATGGGCTGCTAAGCTGAACCTGCACATATGTTCTAAAGGTATCTTGACTTCAAAATTTGGATCTAAGGATATGATGCTTTGGAGAGGGTCTTCTTTTGTTTCCACAGAGGATGTGACCCTATGGATTGCATCTATCCCGGTATGGTATGATAGACCACGCCCTCCTGAAAGGTTGCTGTGAACACCCTCAAAAAATTACTTCACTCAACTGCCAACCGAGATGAACCTGACACACAGGTTACACCCTAAATGATCTGATTAACAGTGCCCCCATTCAGCAGGAAGCAGTTTGGAGAGAAAAAACTACGCCCATGTTCCCAAATATTGTTTATAAATGTTCTTTTACATTTAAAGGGGGATATGATATAGATATGAATAATTTGCATTGGTATGGATTTTAAGGTCAATTTTGTTATATGTATATGTATTTTTGAACTTGATTAAGGTATTGTGATTATGTAGTTCACTTAAAATGTAATGTATAATTAGGAAATATAGGTTGTTAATGGATAATCATTGCTAATAGTTAAGCTTGTAGTCATGTTAGTTAGATTTTCTAGATATATAGAGATATATTTCAATTAGATAGGCATTCTTCATATCTTTCAAAGACTGCAGAATATGGCATTTAAAATATTTTAATAACTTAGGACTTTTCATGACAAGGAGACACGTCTGCTCCTGGCAGCACCAGCTACTTCAAGAGGAAGATGGGCATCGAAGAGGATCCTTATGGAGTTGGATAGTCATTTGGGCAAGAAACTGCTCTTGCCTGGACTGTTGCATAAACTGGACACAGAGAACCCTCAGAGAGAGGACTGCTGAACTTGCCTAAAGGTGAGATGGTCTTTCGGGGTTCCTGATTCATGAAAGAGTCTACAAGACATTCTACAGAACACAGCAGAAAGTGACTGAACTGTCTTTAAAATTTCCTGCTTCATGGAAATGTATCTGGATACCATGGGCCTGTAGGCCGAAGATGGATGCCCCAACGGTACAGAGGAACTTTGGGTGACTGTCCAGGCAGCGAGATGTCTCTGTCATTTCTAGAGTTTTCTTATTTCTTGTTTACTTAGATAATATTATATCCTTCTGGAGTCTTTGATGGAGTTGAAGAATAAATAGTTATAGTTTTCCTTAGTTATGATAAGAGATAAAATAGATATAAATATTGTAACTGTAATTCTTACTTGATAACTGTTTTGTTATATGTAATTTTACTATGCTAAAGTTAAAGCCTTTCTTTTTTGTTTAAACGGAAAAAGGGGAAATGATGTGGGAATGATTTCTTACTAATAAAGAAACTGCCTTGGCCCATTTTATTGGATAGAAAATTAGGTAGGCGGAGTATACAGAAGAGAATTCTGGGAGAAAGAAGGTTAGAGGAGGAGTCGCCATGATGCTCCCACTCCAGACAGATGCAGGTTAAGATCCTCTCTGGTAAGCCAGCTCATGGGCTACACAGAATATTAGAAATGGGTTAGAACAATATGTAAGAGCTAGCCAATAAGAAACTGGACCTAGCCGGGCCAGGCAGTGTTTGAAAGAATACAGTTTCCGTGTAATTATTTCTGGGCATAAGCTAGCCATGCAGGCGGCCGGGTGCCGGGGACGCAGCCCTGCCGCTTCCTATTTCAACAAAGGGGAATGGGGGGGAAGGGTGTGTGGGAGAATGGGAGGGAAGTGGGAGGAAGGGAGAAATTGGAAAATTTGACTGGTATTATTTATAAAATAATAAAAGAAAAGAAAATAAATAAAATTGTGGATGATAATACCCCACATATATAATTTATTTTTCATGATAATTTAAACTATTTTGAGTTGTTTGTTTGTTTGTATCCATATGTTGCTGAAGACTTGTCTTTTTGCGATCTTCAAGAATTGTGTTAGAATTTAATGATGGATTTTCACTGAATCAGTATATTACTTTCAATAAGATGTTCATTTTTACTACATTAACTGACCAGTCCTTGAGCACAGAAATTTTTTTCTATCTTCTGATACATTTCTATAAGGATCTTTAACTTTCTTAGTTCAAATTCCCCCAAACTATTTTCTGAGGCTATTGTAAAAGATATCGTTTCCCTTATTTTCATTTAAATCTTTTCTCATTTCTATAGAGGAGGGCTACTGCTTTTGTTAGCTAATTTTGCACCCCTTAAATTTGATTAAAGTTTATCTCACTTGTAGGAGATTCTTGGTGGAGTTCTTTAGAGTCTGGAAACCTTTTAAATTCATAGCATCTGCATATAAAGTTACTTTGATCTCTTCCTTTACTATTCATCACTTTTTGATCTTCATTCATGGTACTGTTCTAGCTAAGATTCCAAGTGCTCTATTGAATACATATGGAGAAAGTGAGTCCCATTTAAATGGTTCCCTATTTTAGTGGAAAGGCTTTGAATATCTCTCGATTTAGTTTGGTGTGGGATATAGGCTTGCTGCAAATTGTGTCTTTCATTTGGAGGTATGTCCCTTGCATCCCTAATCTCTCCAGGACATTTATCAAAAATGGGGTGTTAATTTTGTCAAAGGCTTTTCTGCATCTAATGAGATAAACATCTGGAATTTGACCTTCAGTTTGTGTAAGTGGTAGATTACATTTATTGGTTTTAAATTGTTGATCTAGCCCTACACGTCTTGAGATGAAGCCTATGTAGATCACCTTTTTGATATACTATTGGATTCACGATGCAAATATTTTATTGAGGACTTTTGTATATATGTTCATAATGAAATACAGGCCTTCATTCCCATTGCTTCTGGTGTGACTTGCCAACTAAAAAGGGACTCACAGGTGGACATGGTACAAACAGTAAGAAAATATTCAGTTTTAACTAGTATGCTCCTTATATCAAACCCATTCTATAGACTGTTCAGAGCTCTTTCTGGACAGAGTGATAATACATAGTAAGGCAGGAAGTCATGAATGACTATAAGAAAATAGTACTTTTTATACACACCATGACAGTTGCCCATAAGAACTAAAGTGATTAGGAAAGCATTCATCAGACCTGAGCAAGCTCAAGCCAGATTAATATTATAGAAAGAAAGGCTGATGGGAACTGGAGTACCAAGCCTTGCTGAGAAGTTCCTATCATCTTAAAGATAAGAGCATTAAGTTTATTTTAAAACTGTGCAACTCCTGATAGTTCAACCATATGCAGGCCATTCTCAACACCCGGGACTGTCTGGGAATTACAGACTGAACTCTGAGAATAAAAAAAGATGGGAAAACATCAAAGATATCTGAGGAAGCAGAACATGGGAAGAGTTGGGGAACTGAATATGATCCAAAGTCATTGTGAGGCATTCAAAATAATAAAAGTATATATGAAAAATAAAAGTATACACAAATTTGCTTCTCCAAGCAAACTCAAATTTAGACAGATATAAAAACACAAAAGAAAACACAACCTTTATGTGAAAAGCAACATAAATTTTGATATTCAGAGATTTTCGGATATTAAAATAGACCAATAACATATGAATAAACAACTCCTAGTTTCTAATGAATATTTTGCAGAAATAGAAAAAGTTATCTTTGAAATTCTGTAGATTTTAATGCAAAGAACGAATTCAACAATCTTCCAAAATGAGTCCAACTATAAAATTTATATTTTCTGATTTTATGTGATTCTAACAAACTGTGAAAACCACATAGTAAGTGCAGACAAGCAGACATGAACGTGTACAGAGAAATATTCTTTGAAACACTGTGAAAAGTTTTTTAATCCTAATTTTCATTTCAATATTGTTCATTTCAGAACGTGGTAGCATTCAAGGATATGGCAACAAATCATCTTCCTTCTGCTTTATACCATAGTTAAAGTTAACTATCCCAAGGGAATTTTTAGGTCAATTTATGTGAATGAGACTTAAAAAAACTTTAGAATAATTATTCAATGTGAATTTTTATACCATTTCAGGTAAAGATCTTTGCAAACCCCACTTCAGGAGAGAATTCCTCCACATTCTATGTTTCCCACATGTGCTAATACTTCCTGTGGCTTACCTTTTTCATTGCCTTCTTTCTCTCCTGTGGTCACATTCCAGGGCTCTTTGCTTTCTTCAAGGGAGCTGATCAGATCTGGTTTTGACACTGAAATACCTGAATATTGGAAGAGATATATGGGTATAACTTGGGATAATAGTAAAAACATGGATTTCTAATAAACCACCATACTGACTATATAAGATGGCATATAACATAAAATTTCAAATATAATTCCTAATTGCTATCTCCCAATATTTTAAAACACTCAAAAGCATTTTTTTTTTTTTTTTTAGTATTCTGTACTTTGGGTTTGTTTGTAAATTACTACTGAATCTAAATGCAAATATGTTGTGAATCATTAAGTTACAAATCAATATATAATCTATGGTGTGTCTGAAAAGTAAAATGTATTATAAATGTTTGATTGATGAATGCCATCTCCAGGAGTCAGGAGTATATTGACAAGATAAAGTTACACAATTCATTGTGTTCTAAATGATGAACTCTAAGATTTTTATTAAACTGACATGTGAAAGTGAGGCAGACAATTCAGACATAAGTGTAAAACATACTTGTAAGAAACAATTATGATAAAGAAGGAATCAGTAAAGAAAAGTCTCACCCACAGAGACCATGTTACTGTAGTTCTCCAACATGACTTCCCTGTACAAAGCCCTTTGTGCAAAGTCGAGGCAGTCCCACTCATCTGGAGAGAAATCAATTGCCACATCCTGGAATGTCAAGATTCCCTGTCATGAAAAAAAAAAAAAAAGTTTATCAAGTGCCCACGAACACATTTCTTTACTTAGACTATGAATACAAGAATTTATCACAAAACTTTAAGTGTTCTTGATTAGCATTATTCTAAAAGACATACTCCAAAATATAGTCTACACTGAAAATCTGTGTGCTGAAAATATTAAACCAAGAAGGATAAACTTAAGCTGTAGATGTACAGGCAGAAAAGGGGTATGTGAATGGGAGCCAGACTATCTTCATGTGAAGTCCAGACTTCACCATTTAAGGGCATCTATTCTTATGGCAAATTGTTTCTTTAGGAACCACAGGTAAAAGAACCATGAGCTGTAAAGTTGCAACCATGCGTGCATGCACCGTTGTGAAATGAAAATATGTCAAAAGTAAGATGTGTAGCAAGGGACAGAATTGCCATATCCAAGAATGAAGCAGAAATTCTTACTGCAAATTATTTCAATGACAATAGTGGGAAAGACCATGAAAGAGATGACACCTGTGTGTGGCAAGCTGGGAAGAGACTGACATCTAATGCCTAAATAAGGAGTGAGAACACTGTGGGCAGATTTAGGAAGTAAAACTGAGGTAGTATATTTCACAGCTGATGCATGACTTGGATCAGCTGACATCCAAAGCTGACTCTCCCCTGAAGCTTCAGGGTTTCATTATTGTTTCAAGAACACAAGATGAGGGCTGGAGAGATGGCTCAGTGGTTAAGAGCACTGTCTGCTCTTCCAGAGGTCCTGAGTTCAATTCCCAGCAACCACATGGTGGCTCACAACCATCTGTAATGAGGTCTGATGCCCTTTTCTGGCCTGCAGGCATACATGCAGACAGAATATTGTATACATAATAATTTAATATTTAAAAAAGAAAAAATTTAAAAAACCACAAGTTTAGTATGAGAACTAAATTGTAGTAAGCTACTCATCAAAATTTACTAAGAAATCAATAAAAACACCAACAAAAATGTTGATTAAACCACCCTGGGAACAGCAGTCCCATAAATTTGATTTTCTAGATTAGAGCTAATATTACAAACTGCACCTTGCCCTTCATATATTTTTCTACAAGAATCTTCATGGGGAAGATAGGAAGAAAAGGACAAACCACAAAAGACATGCCCTGTTTGACAGTGTAGTTATATTATTCGTTGTACATTTCATTGTTGTCTTTCTCCTATTCTAATTCTTGAACATATTCACTCTCAGTTAACTACATCTTAATTTTCTTTTATGCTTCATATTATTGTATTGTTTTACTGGGTTTTATGTTTTTTCTGTATGTTTCTGTAGTACAGTTTTCTCCCATTATTCCAGTTAAAAATCTGTGTAATTTACTCTCATTCCTAAATTATCTTTTCTGCCTCCTTCCTACCTTCTCCTCTCACATTATTACTGCAGTCCTTCATAGTTTTACTGATTTTTATACACTGTGGATACTATAATATAGCTATAGTTTTCATCAATCTGCATTTTTCTTTATCATTAGTTGGTTTAATACTGATTTCTATTCTCAGCGAAATGCTATTAGTTCCTAATATTAGCAGCAAGTTTAATAAAGACATGATCTAATTTCATTATTTTTTAATCAATTCACAGTATCAGAAACTACAACTTTGATTGTAAGTGTTCATTGTAAAAAGAGTCACTTGACTGGTTGAAGGCCTTTGGTTTCTTCTATATTATGTATGCTAAGCCCTCACTGTGACTCTTCTTGTATATCCTGTTGTTGCCATGTGTTGTAGAGATCTTGCTTTAAAAGAATACATAGGTATTTTTACAATGGGTATATTCAGCATTTGGGGTTGTTCTATAACTTATTAATCTATACTTACATTATCTTGAAAAAACCCCGTGCCACAGAGTAAGTGATTTTGGAAAGAGATCTGGAAAGCTCATACCTATGTGAGACATCTATATTACCTCCAAAGACGAGGGAACATTGCAAGAGAGATATGGGAAAGCATAAAGGAGCAAGAGGATTTGGAGGAGTAAATATAAATGCTGTGTTCTGGATATGACAGTCAATAAAATATGAACCAACGGACACAAAATACCTATAGAAAACTCAAGTTTTAAATATTCCCTTCTGGATAGAAGAGGGGCTTATGAGAACTTCTACTTTACTGAGAAGCAACCGAGTTCAGATGGTTGCATGTAGAGGAGATGTCATTTTCTTCAGTAAAGGAGTCACTGGTAAATTTGCCATGCTCCAGTAAAAATTGCCTTAACATTTTCATACAACAATCTTTTAAAATTTAGTGGGTCCTAAATGAACTTGTGCACATGAGACGTACTAGTTGCATGAAAGTTTATCAACTGATTTTTAAGAAAACAGAAAAAGGCAACAGAGATAAATATTATTACAATAAATTATATACATGAGTGAATGCTCAAAAGAACACAATGTTATGAATTTAAGATTAAGGAAATAAAAAGAACAATGTAGTAATTAAGAGTCACAAAGAGAACTGAAATTCTTTCTCCTGGCCATGACATAAGAATCAATTAACAGCAGGAATGGTTGCCTAGGGCTATGTAAGATGGTGTAAGTCAAAATTCCAATGTGGTTCAGGAGGTACCTCCTACGGTCCCTCTCAATAGCTATGAAGCTACTGGAAGCTGATTGCCACTATGAGAATGTGGGACATTTTGGGGAGGAAAATATAGTCAAGAGTGTCTTACCCATGTCACAGTGGACGGAGCCATAAAAATTTGGACATGTATTATACTACCTAGATTCACAGGGTTATTGGTAACCATAAAAATCGTCATAATAAATAGAACCAAAAGTAGGCATAAAAAGAAAACAAGCGATCATGGGGTTAATTCATGAGAGGGAGAGCACTGTTTATAAGATTGAAATACATTGGATAAAGGTATGGCAATTTCAAAGCATGAATAGAATCATTATTCCCATAAGATCCTATTTGCTGATATAACATCAAACCAATTTTCACAGCCAGTTTTCCAACATTTTTCTTCATGCTCTAGCTCACTGAGTGTTTCTGAACCTCCCCAGCACATAACCTTCCCTACCCCCAAATCAGTTTTGGTATGTATTACAATTTAAACACAGAATTACTCCAGGATGCACCCTACCTAAATCTGAAACTCACAGACATCTCACACTAAAATGCCAAATTCTCCACCCAGTCAGCTATCCTTCTAAAAACCAAATAGGACAAGGAACCATATCCTACACATCACTAAAGTACCTTTAGTGCACCTGACTTCACTCTAATAAGTCATTTCCATTCTCTAGAATTGACATGTCCACATATCCTCCCCTCTGCACCAAACTGCTCTATCCATATCAGGCACAATAATACCAAAAGTCACATGCCCATATCTCATTGCAAAAATACAAACACTGTGAAAGGAACAAGTCAGTATCTCCTCTCCAAAACATACTAATAAAATAGAAATGTTTGTCAATGAGAATGACTTTGATGAAACATAGGAAAAAGAGAATTTAAATGAACAATCAAAATTTCAGGAACGATTTCCAAGAGAAAACTGACAATAAATCAGAGTTAATGTGCTCTTATAAAATGAATTTAGTATTGTTACTTTAATTTCAGTTTGTGGAACAATTTGAAGAGCATATGGTCTTCTTTGAATATCTCAGAGAGAGGTCTGTCCTAAAATCATCTGATCCTGGAAATTTTTGGAGGTGGGGGATGTTTTTAATGACTGGTTTTATTTCTTTAGTGTTTATAAATCTACTTAAGTTGTTAATATGATCCTGATTGAATATTGGTTAGGAGTATCATTGAAAAAAATCCATTAATTTTAAAACTTCTTATATTTTGGAGTACAAGTTTTGAGCTAATCATTATCATTTAATAATGTCCCACTTTTCATTTCTTATTTTTTTTTAATTTGGATATTCTCTCTGTATTTTAGTTAGTTTGGACAATCTTGTTGATTTTTTTAAGTAAGACCTCTTAAAAAAGAATATTAAGTCTTTGAAGAAAGAAATTAAAGATACCAGAGAATGAAGAACTTTTCCATGCTCTTGGATAGGAAGGATCAATATAATAAAATGGCAATCCTACCAAAAGTCATCTACAGATTCACTGCAATCCCCATCAAAATCCCAACACAATTCTTCACAGACCTCAAAAGAACAATACTCAAAGTTCATATGGAAAAACTAAAAGTTCCAGATAGCCAAAACAATCATGTATAATGAAAGAACCTCTGGAGGCATCGCCACCCCTGACATCAAGCTCTATTTTAGAGCTACAGTACTGAAAACAGCTTGGTATTGGCATAAAAACAGACAGGTTGCCCAATGGAATCAAATCAAAGACCCAGACATGAATCCACACAGCTATGATCACCTAATTTTAACAAAGAACTTAAAATTATACAATGGAAAAAAGAAAGCATCTTCAACAAATGGTCCTGGCATAATTAGATGTCAGCATGTACAAGAATGCAAATAGATTCATACCTACCACCATGCACAAAACTTAAGCCCAAATGGATTAAAGACCTCAATATAAATCCAACCACACTGAACCTGACAGAATAAAAAGTGGGAATTAAACTTCAGTGCATGGGTACACCAGATCACTTCCTAAATATAAATATAACATTACTAGCACAGACACTGAAATAATAAATAAATGGGACCTCCTGAAACTGAGAAGCTTCTGTAAAGCAAAGGAGGGAGTCAATAAGACAAAGAGCCACCCTACTGAATGGGGAAAGATCTTCACCAACCCAACATCGGACAGAGTACCGATCTCCAAAATATATAAAGAACTCAAGAAATTAGACAGTAAAATTCCAAATAACCCAATTAAAAAATGGGGTACTGAACTAAAGAGAGAATTCTCAACAGAAGAATCTCAAATGGCTGAAAGACACTTAAGGAAATTTTCAATATCCTTAGCCATCAGGGAAATACAAATCAAAACCATCTTACACCAGTCAGAATGGCTAAGATTGAAAACACCAATAATTGCTTATACTGGAGAGGA